AATGGAATAGAATAGAATAGAATAGAATAGAATAGAATAGAATAGAATAGAATAGAATAGAATAGAATAGAATAGAATAGAATAGAATAGAATAGGAATAGGAATAGGAATAGGGATTAGAATAGAATAAGAATATTGGAATGAAGAATAGAATAGGAATAGGGAATGGAATTAGAATAGAATAAGAATATTGGAATGAAGAATAGAATAGAATAGAATAGAATAGAACAGAACAGAACAGAACAGAACAGAATAGAATAGAATGGAATTCTTTATTGGCCAAGTGTGGTTGGACACACAAAGAATTTGTCTTGGTGCAAATGCTCTCAGTGTACATAAAAGAAAAGATACATTTGTCAAGAGTCAAGAATCATCAGGTACAACACAATAATAGTCATAGGGTACAAATAAGCAATCGAATCATACTAGGAAAGAGTCAATATAAACCGTAAGGATACAAGCGACAAAGTTACAGTCGTACAGTCACAAGTGGGAGGGGTTGGGTGAAAAGAAGGATGGGGGGATTAATAGGAATAGTGATAGTAATGCAAAGAAATGGCAAAGGACTGGCTTACAGTGCCTCTGGCAGCCAAAATGAGGCACCGGGGGGGGGGGGGCCCAGGGGGCTCCCACAGGCGCCATTTTCAGCCTGGATGGCCTCCTGTAGCACTCAGCTGGGCACACAGCTCTGCTCCCCATGCCCCCGTTTTGGCTGGCAGGGCTCTGCAGGAAGCTGTCTGAGCCAAAAATGGGGTGCGGGGGGGACTTGGGTGCCCCCCCATGCCTCATTTTGGCCAGTCAGATGCTGCAGGAGGCCACCCTACACCCCCCCCCGCCAACATGGCGGGCCACGGAGGTGAACTACAACGCTGATCCAGCCCCTCGAAGAAATCCAGTTTGACACCCTGCCCTAACCTCATTTTTGACAGATGGCGATCCAGTCTCTTCTCGAAAGCTTCCAGGGATGAAACTCCCACAAATTAGGCATTAGAGGCAGTCCTCAACTTATGGCTGGCCACTTAGCCACGAGTTGAAGCGAGGATAGGCTTCGAAAATGGGATTTACAACCTAGATTCGGAGTTCTGATGTCTGGGCCCACCTTTGTGGTCCCGCAACTACATTTTGGGTTGCTTGGCAACCAGCCCAGTTTTACAGAATATAGAACACAGAATATTAAGAGTTGGAAGGGACCTTAGAGGTCTTCTAGTCGAACCCCCTGCACAAGCAGGAGACCCTACGCCATGGCTGTTTTTAACATACTATGGTCAACTGATTGCAATTCACACTGTTTTCGGCTGAAGAAACAGTAGATCGTATACTCAGGGTCAGGTAACAAGACCACACAAACTGATCCTAAACAATGACATAACACAGTCACCATAATGACTCACTAGAACCGTGATGGCGAACCTATGGCACGCGTGCAACACGAGCTGCAGGCAAATTTACCTCACTGCGCATGCGCGCGCCTCACAGCTGATTTGAGGCAGATTTGAGGCCTTTTTCGGCCTCCCAGAGGCTTGAGGAAGGCTTCTGCAGGCTTTTCAGGCTGAAAACTAGGCCCGTTTCATCTCTTCCTGTTTTTCCGGAAATACCAGAAGTCATGAAACAGGCCTAGTTTTCGGCCTGTAAAGCCTACAAAAGCCTGCAGAAGCCTTCCTCAAGCCTCTGGGCAGGCCAAGCGCGTGGGGTGAGTGGGGCAAGTTTCCCTCCTCTGCGCTTTCCCCCTCCCCTTACTACCTCGTGTTGTTCACAATGCAAGAGACGCAAGCCTTGTGTTCCCACAGGCCATGTGGGTGGTGCAGCCTTGTGTTCCCACGCAGCCTGGATTAATTGCTTTGGGGGTGACATTGCTCTGCGGACCACCAAAGTTTTTTCCCAGATAACCAGTTGTCCCCGGCCCACTGGTTGGCAACCACTGAGATAAATATAGAAAACCAGCTTGTTAAGGGAGAAGTCATTCTCCTAACAAGCTAACTTTCTCTATTTTTAAACAAATCTGCTTTTCTGGAATTGAAATACATAAAACCAAGAATCAGTTGAGTTTTAACTCTCGGGAGGCTTAGGCCTAAGTCTCACCTTGACATACTGGAGATCTGTAAGGGCACGAACACTGAAGTCTGAGAGGTTCTGGGAACTCGCGACGACATTAAGTTGGTTGTTGCTCCCACTGATGTTGGACGAGATGGACTCGGTGCGCTCATGGTAGCAGAGAGACGCCGAGCGATTCAGATTACTCATGTGAGATGGAGAACGTATTTCTGAAACTAGACAGAGAGAAAGATGATCCAGGAATCAGGTCCTATCCATATGTTCCTCCATTTATTTAAATCTTTCTTTAAGATAAAGGTTCCCCGCGCACATACATGCTAGTCGTTTCTGGCTCCAGGGGGTGAGGCTCATCTCCATTACAAAGCCGAAGAGCCAGCCGCTGTCCGAAGACGTCTCCGTGGTCATGCGGCCGGCAGGACTAGATGCCGAAGGCGCACAGAGCATTGTCACCTTCTTCCCACCAAAAGGGTCCCTATTTTTCTACTTGCATTTTTACATTTCTAACTGCTAGGTTGGCAGAAGCTGGGACAAGTAACAGGAGCTCACTCCATTACGTGGCGCTGGGGATTCGAACCGCCAAACCGCCGACCTTTCTGATCGACAAGCTCAGTGTCTTAACCACTGAGCCACCGCATGCATCCCTGTAATTATTTCTTAGAAAGTGGCAACTCTGTCTGGGCTGACCTCAAGAGACCTCAAGAGAACTAAAGCAAAGCTGGATCACTTTTACAATGCTAACTGAGCTGAACGTGTGGAGCCTTCACCTAAAGCTTTCTTCCAGAGGCTCATGGGAAGAGCATCTCCTATTCCATTTTTCTTTTTCTCCATAACAATATGAGGTAAACTAGGCCAAGGGTCTGCAACCTTAAACACTCGAAGAGCCATTTGGACCTGTTTCCCACAGAAAACACCGGGAGCCATAAAACCTGGGTAGGCATGGCCAACTCAACGTCACTCCCACCAAGTTACATGACCTCCCCCCCTCCGTCACACCACGCCTACCCAGGTTTTGCGGCTCCTGGTGTTTTCTGTGGGAAATGGGTCTCTCTCTCTCTCTCTCTCTTCCTTCTTCCCTCTCATTTCTGTTTTTTGTGTTTTTCCTTCTCAGGCCAGACGAAGAGTGATTGGGAGGTTGAGGCCAACCAATGGTGGGATCACCCAACAGGGAGCCACAGCAGAGGACCCAAATAGCCGCATGTGGCTCCAGAGCCCTGGGTTGCTGACACCCAAACTAGGTGGACTGGCCCAAAGTCATCCTAGTGAGCTCCTGCAGCTGGTCTTGAACCCAGCTTCTCCTCCATCACTGCCCTCATGAGTCCACTGGGTGAATAGGGAACTCAAGTCCCATCTTGCAGCCCCATAGGCCACCTGGAACTCCCAAAGCATCTAAAAAGCCTCTAAAATCATGGCCACTGGATCAAAGTTTGTTCATCTGAGATGTTTCGTTACTCATCCAAGTAACTTCATCGGTCAAAATAATAATAATAATAATAATAATAATAATAATAATAATAATAATAA